GAATGCTTTTCGTTCATGCCACCATCACTGACTACCTTCTTTTTTATGTTCAACGATAAAACGAATTGCTTTTCTCGTTATTTAAGCAGTCAATAGCATAGATTCAACACTGTTTTTTTTTTTTATTATAGTGTTTGCATTTTTGTCGATAGGTGGACTCTAAATATCATTAACTTAATTAATTAAATACATAATTAAAGGTTCTAGATAATTTACTATAAACTATTTAAGACTAAACTGAGTTCTACTATTCCATAAAATTCTAATTCTAATAATTAGTATACCTGGCTATGAAATATTACAGTAAATTTAAGAGTAAATCCCGGGGGGGAAATCTTAAAGTTTATAGTTTTTAATTTGGAAGTTAGCAAAATGATTACACAAACTGTATATAACTGGATTAATTTTTTGAGAAGTTATAAACTTAAGATTATCATAGCAGTATCACTAGTTTGGGGTTAAACTGTAACATTCAGGATCTTGTTGGCTAGTGCTGCGACTAGCGGGAAACCTAAACACTACCTCATCAATCGTGTGCTGCGAAGAACATCGTCAAAACCAGCGTTTCACTCTTAAAGAAAAACCATGGATGCAAAAACGTTTTTACCTTTGTTTACCTTTGATTTTCGGAAATTTCGTTACGTTTGATGATAGTAAATCAGGCCAAATTTCACTTGCCAATTACCATTAATGTATTCTTAGTAAAAAAGAAATGTAAATATTGTGTAAATATTGAAGTAAGTAGGCAAATAGTTATATGTGCAACTAGTGAGAAAAGTGAGTAATTGCCTCACTCGAGTGAAATCCTTACGAGCCGTAGGCGAGTGAGAAATGGTTTCTCGAGTGAGGCAATTGCACTTTGCACTCGAGTTGCACATTATATTTTTCCTACAGTTACCATTAAACAAATAAATTGGTAAAGAAACGCAACATATTTTTACACAGAAGTAAACTTTTAATATGACATTTAATGTGAAGTGACAAATACAACAGAACAACAGCTGACCAGCTGATTTACAGCCAGTGCTGCTAACGTATCTCGCGCGCTTACTACCATTGACTTTTACTACTTTGTCTGCATGTTACGCGCTCACTATTTCGTGCCTTCACGTTGCAAATCTGGAGTGAGACAAAGTAATTTGAAGTAATTTGCACTGATGAGCAAATTGGCCACTTTGCTTTCTCAAATCAGTGAGAGAACATGTGCATTGTTAGGTAACTGTAGGAAAAAGTATATAAATTTCAGAGCAGATAAAAAGAAGTATCTTTTCTCTTTAGGCGTTAAAAAAACATGAATTATCCTCTTTTGGCCTTACAAACATATTATGCAACAATATTAACAATAATGTTATGCTTCGAGTAGTACAACATTAATGCAGTACAATATGAAGTTTATGTTTGGTTTCTAATTCACGTCTGTAATCAACGCTGTCTACAAAATCAACTGTTCTTAACTGTTATTGTTTTGTCTTAGTTTTAGCATAGTCAAATAGAACTGTTTTAGCATGTTTTAGGTTCAAGGGTTGTTTTTAAGTCGATAGCTTGGTTCTGAATTTCTTGAAACAATAAAACCGGTGTCATCAGTTTAAGACTTAAGTGCCTAGACGACACAATGAGGGTATTGTAAGTAGCAATTTTCAATAGAAATTTTCGGCAACTTGAGGTTCAAACGAACAGTTCAACCAAAAATTTTAAACTCTCAAAAATGAAACCATAAAGCGTCCACTTGCCAAACGTTCATCCACAGCCTTTTGGCTATCTTTCCACTCTTCTAAACCGTATTTTCGTTCGTTTCAAAGTTTCCCAGCCCCTCTCATCAAAATCAGAAAGTTGGAAAGAAATTGTTAATATTCAATTTGGCTTTTAGTTCAGTTTTTTTTTATTAAAAAACAGTGTAGTCCTGGATTCCTTGAACATGCGAAAATGTTATGATAAAAGGCCTTTATTAACACAAGCGCTACGAAAAGAAAGAAAATCGATGATGGAAACCGTCTGACAGCGACGACCGTTTGTATTGTTATATGGACGTAGACTAATGCTGCACACGTCAAAATATCTCGCTTTACATCTGGCGGACGCGTGCAGTTTGTGGTAATTCCGGTTTTATAAATGTGACAAATTAAACCAGCTTATATTATTAATTGTATTTCATTCTTCTCATATTACATCGCTGTTATTTTTTGGAATGTATTTTAAGTTTTTAAGTAAATCATACTTGTTGAAAGTAATTGAAAAATACAAAGGTAGAAGGTTAAATTATTCTAATATTACTTTTGTTTTCTGTCCATATGATAAATTCATTTTTTTCCCTTAAAATTATATTGAGCTGCATCCTTCCGATATTTGCTTCCTTTTTTTATTGGGTGAATTGTGCAAAATAAATGTGCTTAACTGCAATAGTTATATGTTTGATCAGTAAATGTAATATAATATAGGAGTGTAATAAAATGTAAATTAAGAAATGACCTGTTTATAACTATAAATTTGTAGTTATCAAATCAACCTCATAGATGAAAATATTTTGTAAACTAATTTCATGTGATGAAACTAATAATGTGTAATAAAAACGAATTTTGTATTACACTATTTAGTAATAGTGGTTCATTATCCTTCATTGAAATACAAATTGTAATACATTGGAATATTTTACCCTAGATTAAAATAAAAGTCTTGAAGAACTGTTCAGGAAAACTAAATACCTAGTAAATACAGAATACGGATATACGCGAACGTTTGAACACAGGGACATCCCTAACGCTCTTGTCCGCCACGTTTCCCCGATCAAAGTCTATTCCCTTTATTAACAGTGTGACAAACCTAGTGGTACGATAATTAATTTCATCCTATTGATTGTATTAAGAAAATATTTGGAATCAGTAAAAATATGCTGAAAGCAATGCATTCAAACCCATACATAGGAATAGGGCTTCAGTTATCCTCGACGTGTATTTTTTTTGTAGATAGATGTGAAAATTAGGAATAGTTTCTTGTCGAATTCTTATGTATCGAATAAACATTTTTACTTTATTCTGATTTAATCGACATAATAAACTTTGCAATGTTAATACACAAATTTAAAAGCTATGCAGGGAAAGTAGCTATTAACAAAGATAAAATTATGTGGATTTAATCAATAAACCAATATTACCAGTGGTTGTCAATCGTTCGGGAGATAACTACTAATCAAAGCCCACCATGCCATTGCATTCCAGGCAGACATCACCCGTCCTTCCATGTAGAGTAACATTCCAGACAGCGTAACCACAGAATAGGTTTATTACCTGTTAAGATTGTAGAGGATTCTATCCAAACCGTTGGCACATATTTAAAGTACTGTTTGATTGATTTTTACGGCCGTAGAACGATTGGCACATATTTTTAGTCGATTTGGAATAGCACGACTGGCACAATCATTAGAGGGGATTAAGAAGGGTCAAACTGTAAGGTTCGGAAAGGCACGATTGGCACAACAGACCGGTAAGGAAGTAGTAGGCAGGTAGCCAGAATGCGGGAAAATGGAAATTGTTTTGTCCCCATAAAGTCCCCGCTGTAGTGCTTGTTAGAGTTAGCATTAGCAATTACTTCATCCATGGTGTAAGTTTGAGCGACAAATCTGCTGCTACGGTCACTGCCCCTGCTGGGCCAAAAAAAACTACACTAACCCAACCTAACTTAACTAAACCTAACCTAACTTAACTTAACTAACCTAACCTAACCTAACTTAACCTAACCTAACCTAACCTAACCTAACTTAACTTAACCTAACATAACCTAACCTAACCATTGAAAATACGCGATATTACCGGCAAATTACTGTCGTAGCAGAGTTGACGGGGAATTTTAAACTTCCCGTTTTCCCTCGTTCAATGGCGTTTACCTGGTCGAGCGGTTGTGCCAATCGTGCCTATTCCAAGCAGGCGAGTTGACCCTACTTATTCCGCTCAAATGATTGTGCCAATACTGCCATGGGCAGAAGATCCAAAAATGTGTGCCAATCGTTCCCATTTTGGCCACTAAACCACAAGAAAAGTAATTCACTGTCCTACTTCTGGATGTTGATATATTAATATAATATGTTGCCTTATAATATCCTTGGGTGACTGTTTAATCTTCATGTCGTCGTCTACCCGACCAAACGCGTGCACACACAGAGATGTGGATGAAATAATGAAATATGTCCTATGTTAAGGAGTGTTTTCTCTACGATTTTAAATGTTACGAACCGTAGAAGAGGGTAAACCTGAAGACGTGGCAGTCAGTCGCCACGAAACATGTGATTTAACCAGACATCCAAGGATATCGTAAGATATCGAAATACTTTCTATGAATACATTTAATGATTTTACTGTTTTAAGATGCACCACCGACATTCATGGAAGGTGACATGTTTAATCTTTTTGACCCATAGTACTGTACTTTTATTGAAACAAAGATGAAAATTTAGCAAACAAAATAAATTATGATAGCTATTTAAAATTACAATATAAAACAACGTTTTGAGACAAAACCCCTTTTTCTCCTCACTTAGAATTTTACCGGATGCTTTACCGGAAATTGTGTCTCATTAAATTCTCTAAACTAATATTTTCTGAGTAATAGCTTGTGTTTTCCATAACTTGGCATCTTCACTATTTTGTATCGCATACGGTGTAAAACACAATATTAAACATATTGCGATAATCTGTATTATAAGGCCGTTGCCACTATAATAAATTCTGAAGTCAACAGCATCGTCAAGGGATTGATGCCAGACTTGTCACTACTACTTTGAATAAACATCCTCAGAGAAGTTGATGAGCCTAGCTGCTTCCGATGCCTTTTGAAAGTAAGAGCAAAATGCCTTGAAGCAATCTTTAACTGACGATGCCCTTGATCCCGGAAACTAGCATAAAGAGTAGGATTCGTTTGATAACGTAGCTGGTGTGAATCACGTTAATCTATGTGTGATGTTAAGTTATTTTCGTTCTAGGCTGAAAGAAGACATTTGAGTGTTTACTCACATGATGTCCCCCAGCTTGATCCTGGTCTGTATGAGGGCGCATGACTTGTGGTCGGAGGTGGTGACGGCGCGGCGGCGACGGCTGTACATGGCGCCGGATGGCAGCTGAGCCGGGGGCGGCGAGCTGTTGCGCCGACGCAGACTGGTGTGCCGCGCCACCACGCCTCCTAGCATCCTGGAACAACACAAACAGAGTAAGAGTCAGACTAGCTTTTACAGAGATTCCTGAGATGGAGGGAGAGGTACAACAAGTTCTGTGCCACCTAGTACTATAGCATTCTTGAACCACCAAAACAATGTCAGACCGGCGAGTCGTGTCTTACTTTTAATACTTTACTTTAATACTTTCTTATGAAATGGCGACCATACAATGTAGGTATTTTAAGCCAAGTATGAATGGAGATGAGTGTAGGATGAGTGGCGCGATCTTGTAGTCTTGTTAGTGACTAAGGCCGACATTCCTTAGACACAGCTGTTAATTAATAGCCCAAACAGCTAATGGCAACTAAGGGACCTACAGTTTATAGTGGAATCCGAACCACATTTTTTCCTTGGTATATACGAATTGGTCTAATTATCAGGATAGTACTGCGGATAGTCGTAATACTCACTAGTGCGGACGTTAATCCACACCAGGGAGTATCCCATCCACAGTGCATACCTATAAATATCCACAATCCGTGACCTCCTAGTAGCTGGATTACAGGACGACGCCACCCGTCCCAGTCTACGTGGATTCTAGCATCCTAGAACAACACAGACAGTGTCAGACTATAGGCTTCCAGAGAGATACTCTCCCTGAGATGGAGGGAGAGGTACAACAAGTTCTGTGCCACCTAGTACTATAGCATTCTTGAACCACAAAAACAATGTCAGACCGGCGAGTCATGTCTACGTGGATCCTAGCATCCTACAACACCACAAACAGTGTCAGACTATAGGCTTCCAGAGAGATATACTCTCCCTGAGATGGAGGGAGAGGTACAACAAGTTCTGTACCACCTAGTACTATAGCATTCTTGAACCACGAAATCAATGTCAGACCGGCGAGTCATGTCTACGTGGATCCTAGCATCCTAGAACAACACAAACAGAGTCAGACTATAGGCTTCCAGAGAGATATTTTCTCCCTGAGATGGAGGGAGAGGTACAACAAGTTCTGTACCACCTAGTACTATAGCATTCTTGAACCACGAAATCAATGTCAGACCGGCGAGTCATGTCTACGTGGATCCTAGCATCCTAGAACAACACAAACAGTGTCAGACTATAGGCTTCCAGAGAGATATACTCTCCCTGAGATGGAGGGAGAGGTACAACAAGTTCTGTACCACCTAGTACTATAGCAATCTTGAACCACGAAATCAATGTCAGACCGGCGAGTCATGTCTACGTGGATCCTAGCATCCTAGAACAACACAAACCGTGTCAGACTATAGGCTTCCAGAGAGATATTTTCTCCCTGAGATGGAGGGAGAGGTACAACAAGTTCTGTACCACCTAGTACTATAGCATTCTTGAACCACGAAATCAATGTCAGACCGGCGAGTCATGTCTACGTGGATCCTAGCATCCTAGAACAACACAAACAGTGTCAGACTATAGGCTTCCAGAGAGATATACTCTCCCTGAGATGGAGGGAGAGGTACAACAAGTTCTGTACCACCTAGTACTATAGCATTCTTGAACCACGAAATCAATGTCAGACCGGCGAGTCATGTCTACGTGGATCCTAGCATCCTAGAACAACACAGTGTCAGAATATAGGCTTCCAGAGAGATATCTCCCTGAGATGGAGGGAGAGGTACAACAAGTTCTGTGCCACCTAGTACTATAGCATTCTTGAACCACGAAAACAATGTCAGACGGGCGGGTCTACGTGGATCCTAGCATCCTAGAACAACACAGTGTCAGACTATAGGCTTCCAGAGAGATATACTCTGCCTGGAGGGAGAGGTGCGGTATAACAAGCATTATGCTCAGTGGCCCAGGATCACTTATTGAATAAAATGGTTTATATTACCTGTCCGTCAGTGATCCTATTGTGGTCTTAGGCGACCGGTTTCGGGATTAAAATCCCATCATCAGGCGGTTAAATGTCATGTCACTCAAGTTGAGGTCGTCGGTGATCACAAAAACACATAAAACACAAAACACGAAAACATGGTTTGACATTATGTACAACGTTACTGGCCAGAGACGACGCAGTATTATTATTACTACTTGATAGAAAATAATTTTTGATCCAGCAATGCAATCATCCAGAGCATCAACTAAGTCCATTATTGGTTGAAGTGGACCTAAAGCTGTATAGGAATCGAACTGATTTCCGCATTTGAACATATTGTTGTGTTTCTTGGTATTCTACTAGTTTACTTTAAAACCTTATTTCTCAGTCATCATCAGAGTGGTAAAAACAACTAAATCCCTTGACTACTTTGTTTCTCAACGGATTCTCGCATCACCATTACTGAAGTGATCATGAATAAACAATCCCCCGATTGATACGGAATACTTTCCTCGGATTTTCTTTGTAGTTTCATCTTCTCTAAGATCTCTTTTGTGATGTAATTAATTAAATTGAAGTAACACTTGTTATATTAAACTATATATTACTTTACGTGTTTTGCTGGGTGTTCATTGTGTTTTAGGGAAACCTTATTAAAAAAATGGTAAATGTAAGTAAAAGAATACTATGAATTGGAAAAAAATGGGTGCTTATAGGCTGTACAAATGCATTTGCTGTAATACTAAAACTGTTTAGAGAATGTGCTTTGGAGTCTAGTGTTTCTTTTACAGATGGGCAGGGGTGATCTTTCTTATTCAGAACAAAAGCTTACAAGAGTTATTGAATTTCCCACATAGGGAATAAGCTATTACCGTAGTACTCATGGTAAGACCTGGTTCCTGGACCAATTTACTTTTTCGTTTAGAGGTCCCTAGAAGCCAAAAACACAGTCCGTTAAAATTCATATTTATGTCCGTTAGCACGATAACTCGAGCAAAAATGATCCGATTTTGATTAAATTTGGTATAAACGTGTAAACCTACATTATTGTAACAAGTTCGCGAACCAGCATGAATGGACTATAGAAACGGGGGTTTATGGTGGGTTTTATGGGGTAAAAATTGGTTTTTCTTATTTTTGACCTTAAAATCATAATTTACCAATTTCTTTCCAAACCATTCTGTATAGCTTGAAAACAAATAATTTAGTATACTGAAGCGTTATTATGCGCCTAATGGTTACGGGAAAATTGTAAATTTAAAATTTCCATATTATTTTTACGGAGAATAAGTAAACAGTTGTAGTTTGCTTGTTAATGAACATAGTTCGATAAAATTTGGAAAATGCATTTCTTTCTGACTAAACAATTAACATTTTACAAAAAATCTTTGCTTTTGATTTGTATTATTTGAAAACACCTATGCCTTGTCTTTTATTGTTTTTTATATTTTGCATTTTTTCAAATCTTTGTACGTGGCTTTTACAAGTGTATAGCATTGACTATACATTAAGTGAGTATAGTCAATGGTATAACTTAATTATTCCTTCTATTATAAGGATAGTTTTACATGTTTCTTTTTTACATGAAATCTATCTATAATTAAAATAAGGGCTTTTAGTAAATTGATTTTACGTTTGCTTTTTAAGTCCTGTATGTAGAGGAGTCTAACCTGTTTTCAATCCGATTACAAATACATGCATGTTCCTCTTAATACCCTTATAGTATTTTCTGAATAAGGTAAATCTTACTAATAATTTTTAAAAGACAAGCAATTTTAAAGTAAAACTTACATGACTAGAGAAAATGTGAAAAATACGCATTGTTTTTAATAAAAGAAAATTATACTTCTTTAATATACGACCACGTAGATTATCATGTAACGTACATATACGCAACACAAATAAATCCAAAACATTGAAAACGAATCAATAATTGTTTAAACCAACACATTAATGGAAAAATTAGATTTATTTGGAAAAAAATCGAGAGGAAGACAAAGTGGTGTGAAATATTATGAAAATTTGTTACCGAAGAAAGTAAATTAGGTATTCGGTAAAGGGTGGTGGATGAAGGGCATAAAACAATTATTCAGACGGTTTGTAAGGCCAACCCCACAATATTGTTAGGGGGTGGGGGGGGGGGGCGTTCCGATAAACCGATCATGACAATACTGAGCGGTGATTGAAACAAAATACCGGGCTTACATTTGTTTTTCCTCTTTTAAAAATATTCGAATTCATTCTTTCCATTTGCCACTTTCCTAATGCATTTAAACCCCTCTCTCCTTTATTAAGTTCAACGAATATAACTGAGTTTTATCATAGTTGTTTTACTGCATTAACGTTATTTTGAACAATGTTATATAAGCGATGCACGGTCTCACAAAAATGAATCTAAGTTTAATGAGTTAATTTTAACAATATACGCATACTTGGATTAGTTATACTACTTGCTAAAATATACATTGCACATTGTTTTAACTATTCGTTTTAAGATTTTTACGATTAGCAACTTTAATTGTAAAAAAAACCTCCAATATATAAATCAGATCTTTTTTGAAGATTGTTTCTATTAGTCGTCATGCAGATACAAAGTATGAAGTCAATCATTGCATGAAGCATGAAGTAAAAAATTATGTATATATTTCTGTAACATAAAGATAACATGTTTACAAACACACAGAAATCGATGGTTTAGGCATACACGATGTGTTTTTGATTGTATGGATTAATAGACCTCAGGAACAAATAGGTTACACAAAATATCCAGGAATTGTCTATACACCCTGTATACCTTTCGTTAATACTTACAAGGTGTATAATCACTGATAGTATTTTGCGCAAGGCTTTTATCAGCCAAGTGATAATAGAAGTCCGTAGCCCCTAAAAACCCATTGATTCTTAGTCTTAGTAACTACAGGGTGCGGCTAGTATATGATTATAGTCCTACAATCTCTGTGCGTGACTTTAGTCTTCTGGTATTTTGTTCTTCCAGAATATTGTTATTACCAGTTTGTAACACAGGTATGCTTGAGTAACTTTTAGTAAAATATAAGTGATTTGATTAAAATTCAATACAGCTAGAGACAAAAAGTGTTATATTTCAATATTTTGTTATCTAAGACTAGCAAATAAGCATTCAAATTGTTTAAAGACTATATCGTGAT